AGATTAAGGTCAATGTCACTTAGCATAGTTGTCTTTCTTGGATACTAGGAATCCTGAGGATAAGAGACCCTCCTTGAAGCTTTGGGGGTCCCCCATTTGTTTCAGTGGGGATTACAGAATTGGTCTCTCTTGCAAGGTCTTTGCATGTGCTGCAGGGAGAATTAGAATGGGTGAATTGTCCCCCTATAAGTGTATGTTCATCAGCTGGATCTGGTCCTACAGTGACATTTGGATTTTTTTTAGAGCTGTTAGCCAGCGCCAAGACTCATTAGGAGGTTCAGCTCTACTAGTCATGGTTCTGAAGGCTACTGATCTTTCTGGGCAACCCTCTGATAGGGGTGCTTGTGTCGCTGCTTCCCAATTTCTTCTCCTGGGCAAATTCCTTCCTTATGCATTCCATCTCGTGGGGTATTGGCCTCTGGCCTCCTAGCGCAGTGAGAGAGGGTCTGTCTTTTAAGGGTAAGAGACTTAGGTCCCACTCTAACAAAGCAATTATAAATGCATGTGTTTTGCTAGCTCTTGGCCTTAGTGAACGATGAGATATTTGTTTTTCTTACTGGGAAGGGTTGGATCACAGAAACTCGCCTGGGAGCTGCCAACTGATGTGCCAAGACTACCTCTGCTCCTATTTTCCCTGCCAGCTGAGGACTCCAGCACCCTGTCTTGCTGAGCCAGACACTCCCGTCTGCTCCAACAAAGACCCAGGGTCTGAATTACTTGCCCCAAAGCTGCAGGTTTACCTGAAAACAGCTCACAGAAGTGTGCTTGTCTTTAGCTCTCAGATGCCCAACTCCCAATGGGGTCTAAACCCAAATAAATCCTTTTTACCCTGTATAAAGCTTATGCAGGGTAAACTCATAAATTGTTCGCCCTCTATAACACTGATAGAGAGATATGCACAGTTGTTTGCTCCCCCAGGTATTAATACATACTCTGAGTTAATTAATAAATAAAAAGTGATTTTATTAAATACAGAAAGTAGGATTTAAGTGGTTCCAAGTAGTAACAGACAGAACAAAGTAAGTCACCAAGCAAAATAAAATAAAATGCGCAAATCTATGTCTAATCAAACTGAATACAGATAATCTCACCCTCAGAGATGCTTTAGTAAGTTTTTTCTCAGACTGGACACCTTCCAGGCCTGGGCACAATTCTTTCCCCTGGTACAGCTCTTGTTGCAGCTCAGGTGGTAGCTAGGGGATTCTTCATGATGGCTCCTCTCTCCTCCTTTGTTCTGTTCCACTCCTTTATATATCTTTTGCATAAGGCGGGAAACCCTTTGTCCCTCTGGGTTTTCATCCCCCCTCACTGGAAAAGCACCATGTTAAAGATGGATTCCAGTTCCGGTGACATGATCACATGTCACTGCGAGACTTCATTACCCACTTGCCAGCATACACATATACAGGAAGACTCATAGGTAAAACACAGCCATCTGCAGACAATGGTCCTTGTTAATGGGAGTCATCAAGATTCCAAACCACCATTAATGGCCCACACTTTACATAATTACAATAGACCTTCAGAGTTATACTTTATATTTCTAGTTTTAGATACAAGAGCGGTACATTTATACAAATAGAATGATCACACTCAGTAGATTATAAGCTTTGTAATGATACCTTACAAGAGACCTTTTGCATGAAGCATATCCCAGTTACATTATATTCTTACCATATTTTTATAAAACCATATAGACTGCACAGCGTCACACTTACCACTCATGTTAACTTAAAATGGTGAAAAATAAGGTTCTCCTTCACATGGTGTTCAAACTAGTTGGTCCTTACCTTTAAGTCAGTGCACAACTCTGCCCCTCCATACCTTTCTGCTCTTGTCTCTCATGTTGTTTCCCTTCCTTTCTCCTGCACCCAGCTCATCTACTCCTTTATGACACCAGCCTCTGTACGCTGCCTCCCGTTTCACCGCCAGTAGTCTCGTAGGCTCTCTTTCCTGCTACCCCTCCTTTTTCATATTCTCCTTCAAACAGAAAAATGTTCTCTGCTGTGCTGTTCACTAGCCCTCACTAAATTACTACATTATATCTTACTGCTGTTATCCCATCCTTCCCCTCAAGTCCTTGGCATGTCTGATAGCAGCTATAAACTTTTCAGGGCAGTGAATGTCATTTTTTGGGACATGCTCCACAAACAGTTGGGCTTTGTGAAATATAGTAACAATTATTAATTTATTATGTAAGTCTAAAACAATAAAACTGAACATTGAAAGAAAAATGTTTGCTCTAATAGAACATTCTTCCATTTTGAGGTTAACATTCTCAGCTGCCATAAATGTGAAGAAGAAATATGCACACTTGAAGTCTTTATACGTGGATGCAGACAATTTTAACTTTTTTTCAGAACTGAAGTGATGCATTGTCTTTAAAAACAAATACCCATTTTTAGACTTTAAAACAAAGCTGTGTGTGAGTTATTTCCGCACAAAACACAAGTGTTTTAACTAAAACATTTCACCAACATTGATGCAGCTAATTCCATAAAGGACAAAAAATTGACCTCCAGCTAATGCAATAGAGAGAAAGCTTCAGCCTGAGTATAAGGGGCATAATTTTCCCAAGTACAGAAAATTCTTCTCACCTACTCATTTGCTACATCAGAGGTAGACAATAGGCAGACCATGGGCCAAATCCGGACTGCCAGATGCTTTTGAACAGACTATGACATCTTTTTTTTACTTATCAGTATTGTTTTTGTATTATTTTCTCTGGAGTCTGGACCTTGACAATACCTTGACCATGAAATCTGGACCTTGACCAAAAAAAAATGATTACCCCTGTGCTACATGATAATTATACTATAATCAGAGTGCCTAGTATCTTCTTAACTATAAGATTTATTAACGTAATATGTGAATTCAGCAACTAGTATCTCTGATTTTATGAACAGCAAAACCAGCTTCAGACATACCCCCTAAACCTAAAAGATCTCCCAAGCGGAAGAAGATGGAAATTATAAACTCTGATTCAGATTCAGAATTTGGCATTCCAAAGAAGACTGCACCACCCAAAGGTAAGGATTTTGGTGCACTGCATTGTTAGGATTAGTATATTATATTACTATAGATACATATCTGTAGAATTTTACTACATTATATCTTACTAATGTTACCCTATCACCACTAAAGCTCATACTTCCAAGCATGTTGTATTAAGTGAATTGTCTGATTTTCTCAGCTTCTCTGTATAACACAGGGTCAAATTGAGTTTTGTGAATGAAAAAACAGCACTGTTCTGAGTGTCATGAAAACTGTGTTCATTTCCTAATATGCACTAGTCAGCCATGAGATGTTTCTCATTGGTACAACATTACACATTGACTTGGTACCTCCCACCATAGACAACGTTGTAAAACGGTGCTAAGTGAACTGTACTTTAAATTCATTTAATGGCACAAAATCTCTATTTCTTCATTATTACTAATGTTTCTTATAGGAACCTTTATTCTTCAGATACCATTTTCACTGTTGGGTCTCACGTTCCCAGTAAAAGACAGAGCAAAGCTCTTCTAGTGTAGGAGGTTTTGGCCCTTTGAATCAGTTCAGTGGGAAACAAGCTTTCATCCCTCACACTATGGCCACAGTAGAATTTTATAGTAGGAGATCTCAACTGTGAGGGAGTGGATCTAAGTAGATACAACACAGAAGACCGAACAGAATAGCCACAGAGACTACATGGAAAGAATGCCTCAGTGATGAGACATCAGACTAATTCCTCTAAATAGATAATGATGACAGTTGGTCATGGATAGCCTGGAGGGAGAGTGGAGATCTCATTTAACTACCACCGCCTCAGAGATCCAACAGCTGTAGATCTAGTAGAGCACTGCTCTGTCTTGAACTGAGTGCATGAAATGCAAGAGTGAGATTCCTATGACAAGATGATAGTTTCAAAGAAGCAGAATTAAAGGTACGAAACAGAAAGTGAGACACATTGGAGTGACAGAATGGTAGCTTTTTACTTACATTTTTCATAGGTAGAAGTGAAACTGTAGAATATTTTAGCCTTTGGAATAAATTAAAATGTTTTAGAAATAGATCTGCTAACATTCAGAACACCAAGAAATGTCACTTCTTTAATATCAGTAAAATTATTTTATTTTTTCTCAACCAGGAAAGGGTAGAGGGTCCAAGAAAAGGAAAGCATCTGGTTCTGAAAATGAAGGTGAATACAACCCTGGGAAGAAAACACCCAAGTCAGCCCCAAGCAAGGTCAGTTCAGAGTCTATTGTTGCATAAAAAGCACAAGGTTTGGCTTCTTGATATCTGGCTATTATTTTCTGTATCACATGAAGCATTTTTACACTATTTTAAAATGTCTAAATCTGATCACTATTCTGAACTGGGATTTTAGATGGGTCTAGAATCTAGATGTTATAGAAATGTTTGTTTCCAATGTGAATGTCCGAATTTCGTATTTTTTTGGCATCATGGGTTTTTTCTTTTTCTTTTTAAGAAATCCAAGAAAGCCTCCTTTGACCAGGATTCTGATGTAGACATCTTTCAGACAGACTTTGCTTCTGAACCAGCATCTAAGCCACGGATGGGTCGGGCTAGAAAAGAAGTGAAATATTTTGCAGAGTCTGATGAAGATGATGATTTTACTATGTTTAATTAAGTGCCCAAAGAGCACACAAACATTTTCAAACAAATATCTTGTGTTGTCCTTTTGTCCCTTCTGTCGCAGACTTTTGTACATTTGACTTATTTTATGTGATGATGTAATTGATGGTTTTTATTGTGTGTAGGCATTTTAACATTTTGTTCTTACACCTACAGTTTTATGATCTTTTTTACTCATTGAAATGTCATGTAGTTGTCTGACTGGCTCGTAGAATGTTTTAGGCAGCTGTGCTAAAGCACACATTTTAATTGTCATGGTTGCAAACTGCAGACCTGCTTTTTGAAATGAAGTTTAAACATTAAAAATGGAAAACTGTCAGTCTTGTGTGAAGATTTGGACTACAGGTACTGCTTCTACACAGTTTTAAAATAAATATATTTTATTCTTTGCCAGGAGACTCCATGGAAAAAGGTAAACAGTATATGAACATAGAAAGCATTGTTAAACAATCTCAATGTACAAACAGAGCCAGTGAAAGTACATCACAGACTTGCTAGAATATATATATATATATAATAAAAAAAATCCACTAGTGCTTTAAATGAAACCTAAGAAACTGACACTTTTTTAATCAGTTAACCATTCTACCACTGTTTTCACTCTGATTCATGGTGATTTAACAAGGTCAAGAAGCCAGATTCTCTCCCCCATGTATTTTGGAAGTCCTAGTGGTAGCCCGCTGGCATCAGGTGTGTTGGGAAAGCCCAACTCCTGGCCCCAGTTTCTTAAGGAAATAAACTAGACTCACCAGTTCAAAAGTAGTGAATAAGCCTGTTGGTTATCCCATGAAGTTTCCCTAATGGCTTGTGAACAAGTAAACAAAAACATGGTAACACTGAAAAGTGTTTCTGCCTTGGAGGCTATCACTGAAAAAAATGTAGGTTTTTTAAAAATGTGTAGATATGTCATCAGCCAAGTAATAAACCACTTTTTAAAATTTAAAGTGACATTAACAGTAGAACAAATGACATCTGAATAACTGAGCTGGTAGTTACACTGATACAGAAGTCCCTTCTGCTAGTGCAGATTTTTTGAATACTTTTATGGGGAAGGAGATGGAATAAGAGATGCAAACTGAGGGCATCAAAAAGAGCAATGACACATTTTCACACTAACTAAATCAGAATGTCTTTTTAAATGTTCTTAGCTGGACAGGTACAAGTACTCCATTTTTTATAAACTTGATGTCCTGATCCTTTTAGATATGCAAGACAAAAAAGGAAAGCACCAAACATCCAGTATAGAAAGTAGAGCCATACATTTGTATGTACAAAGTCATCAGAAATGTAACCAGAATTTAAAGTTTGAGATTGGTCTTGTCACCATGCAGTCTTGGTTGTTCAGAAGAGAAAATAGAAGCTTAACTAGTTTCTTGTTGCTGATTGAAATGGCTGATTTAGAGTTTCAAACATTTTCTAGTTTTAAACAGCAAGGAGTAATATACTGATACATATGAAAACATCTTGGTCCTTTTTGAGTTTTAATATAATATATATATATTAAGTCCAGAAACTAAGCAGCAGTAAAAATGTTTCTCTTGCTTTTTTCATCCCTGTACATAAGGTATTAGGAATGTCTAAAGTAGCTGTAAAATGTCTTATTGCAAAAGTGGAGATTGACTGACACTGCTATTATCCACTGAGCTGGGTGAGATGCTAGGACTGTGCTCTGCTGTATTTCCACTGGAGCTTGGTGTCAGTGGTTCATGTCCCTCAGAGTTCTCCAACATTTCCTGAATAAGAGGTGGCATTGATCCAGGGATTTCCATTTTCAATGTAATGACACGTTCTGCACCTTTAAAAACAACAGAAAAACCCTTTTGGTTAACAGAAGTGTGGCTGTTCATATTAATATTGTTACTTTTAGAAATCCCAGTTCAAGACAAAATATTCCCATTGAGATGGGATACAGTGAAACCTTTCATTTTTATTTTTTAAACTCCTTGCCTGTAATCAATTTATTAAATATTTTGCTTACAAGATTTTGGGGTCAGTGGTTTTTTTATGTCCTTCAGAGTTGCACAAGGTTTTATAAGCAAAATATTTCATAAATTGTAGTAGTGCAAAAAAAGCAGTACTTAACTATACTAAAAACAGTCAAAATTATGTCACTAAAAAGCAATATTAGATCAATTCCTTTTGAACATTTTGTGAAGTTTCAAAATAAAAGATACCAGCAAATACAAGCTACAGTATAGGTAAAGGGACTGACCAGTAACACTTTTATTTTAGTGAAAGAAAACCATTTTCAATGTCTCTTCAGAATCATCCAAATTGGTAAAACTTTACAAAATACCAAATTTAATTAAAGGATTAGAAATGTGTCCTGATTTATAATCAGTTTAGCTCCACTGCAGCAGCAAAGGATGTAAAATATTGTTAGGGCAAAATTTGCCTTAATGCACAGCGCCTGATTGAGCTCTGTTCCATTGTGATTATGCCATTTACTTCTGATTTACAACAATATGAGATCAGAATAAGGCTCCTAATTTTGAAATTTCAGAAAATCTTACTTGTTTAGCCGTAGAGAGCACTCTGATATTTTTGCTGGACACTCTCTCTCTCTCACCCCCCCCCTCCCCAAAGTATTTCCATTACTCTGTTCCTAGGGATGTTCTATAGCTGATTACAAAAATAAATAAGAAAACATCACTCTAAGGTTTTGTTTCTAATCCCTTCAACACTACAGCAACCTCTGCAACAGGATGATAAACAGACACAGGCTTTTTGACATTTTAAATATAAGTATGAGAGACTACGAAATGCAGTGCTAGAAACTGTAAATATGAAAAACACAGGTTAAACACTGACTTCTTTCCAACCTGAAGTCATAATATGCCATGAAATAGAAACTATTTTAACATGTCATCATATCCCTCCTAACAAAAGGATTGTACTCTACTAAGCAATAAAATACCCTGAGAATGTAGTTTAAAGTTCTTGGAAACTTCATAGGTAATAGCACCAGTTTCCTCTGAACTAATTGTATTTTTATATAGAAATGGCATTATAAAAAAGGGCTTATAAACCCTCTATGCTTCAGAGTATGAGCCAGCAATTACTAATGGGATAGGAAGAAACTTGCCTTCTGTTGTATAGGTTGGTCCATAATTATATACTAAGATTTCTTTATACCTTCCTCTAAAGTATCTGGTATTGGCCACTATCAGATAAAAGACAATTAACTAGAGGCCTCTGTTTTATCCAGTATGACATTTCCTATGTGGAAAGTTCTCCATGCCTGCAGCTTATAAGAATAATGGATTTAATTTCCCTCACTGCTTGTACAACCCCCAAATAAATCTTAGAACTACCCTGAATTCAAGCAACTTTGATAACAGTACACTGGGTTTAAATAGCTAGCATGGTGGAGATTTTGTAGGCACCTAAGGGAATTTGGCTCCTTTGAAAATCCCTTCCATTTTCAATTACCATAGTAACACATTTCTGTTGCTCATAGGTATATACAGAGGGTGGAATTCATAAGGGGAACTTAGGCTGAGCATTGCAGCACCTAACTTTTAGGAGTCTTGCCATCAAGTCAAATTCACATCCCCAAGTTAGGCATCCAGGTGCCCTCTACAATGGAAGGGGAGAGTTAGGTGCTTATAAAAGCCAGCATACTCCAACTCTCACATGGAGGTTCTCCATCGGATTGGCATCGCAGCGTCTGCCATGGGTTTACAACGAATATGGAAGCAACGTAATCTCAGCACGACAACTAAGTTCAGAATCTATTCGAGCTGTATCCTCCCTGTACTGTTGTATGATTGCGAAACATGGACACTATGTCACTCAGACTGGACAAAGCTGGAAGCTTTCCACACAAAATGCCACCGTTGTACATTGGGCATCAAGTGGAATGACTTAATTTGTAATGCAGATGTTTACAGTCGCTCCGGACTACAGATTACTGGGGCCATTGTCCACAAACAGCGTATTACACTTTTCAGACATACCACCTGCGAACGCCATTCTCTGGATGGCTTGTAACATCCAGGATAAAATTCCACCAACCGAGGGATGGAGGCAGACCTGCTATTACATGGGTTCATCAAGTCTGTTCCAATGTTAGTCTCTTGGGCTTTTAAGCCCTTGTGGTCATACAGGAACAGACCAAATGGCGATCAATCGCTATGGCCAACTGTTCAGCTAAGAAGCAGCAGCAGCATTCTGAGCAGGGAGCTGCATAAGCTAACTCAGGGGTCGGCAACCTTTCAGAAGTGGTGTGCCGAGTCTTCAGTTATTCACTCCAATTTCAGGTTTCGCGTGCCAGTAATACATTTTAACGTTTTTAGAAGGTCTCTTTCTATAAGTCTATAATATATAACTAAACTATTGTTGTATGTAAAGTAAACAAGGGTTTTAAAATGTTTAAGAAGCTTCATTTAAAATTAAATTAAAATGCAGAGCCCCCTGGACCAGTGGCCAGGACCCAGGCAGTGTGAGTGCCACTGAAAATCAGCTTGCGTGCTGCCTTCGGCACCCGTGCCATAGGTTGCCTACCCCTGAGCTAACTCATAGGAAAAAGCGGAGGGGGGGATGCCCTAAGACCTGCTCCTCAAAGGGAGTTAGGCATCTAACTTGAGAGGGAGGTGCCTCCCTGTGGACCACTCAGGAGTCACGGCTGAGAACCCTTCCCTGGAGTTAGGTGCCTAAGGGCTGGTCCCCACTTAGTCCGGACTTCGGACTAAGGTACGCAAATTCAGCTACGTTAATAACATAGCTGAATTCGAAGTACCTTAGTCGGACTTACCGCGGTCCAGACGCGGCCGGAAGTCTCCCCCCGTCGACGCCGCGTACTCCTCTCGGCGAGCTGGAGTACCGGCGCCGATTGTGAGCACTTCCGGGATCGATCCGGGATCGATTTATCGCGTCTTAACCAGACGCGATAAACCGATCCCAGAACATCGATGGCGTGCCGCCGGACCAGCCGGTAAGTGAAGACTAGGCCTAAGTCAGGTCAGTCCTGTTTTAAAAAACAGCAGGCAGCACTGGCTGAGCTGGCTCTCTCTGTGTCTCCTGTTGAAGACGTTCCACTTTTGTGTATATAGTTAAACATTCACTGGGCCACAGAGAGAGGTTAGGACACTCCTTGGTCATGGGAGACCCAAGTTCCTGCTGCACAGGAACAGGCAGACTGGGAATTTGAACACTGGTATTGCTCTAATCACGGAGATAAATGTTGGTGGATATTTTATGTAGGACTCAGTCCAACAGACATGTACCAAGTATGCCTACCAGACTGGGCCAGCAGGCAAGATGGGAGGAATATCTACTTTGTGAACCCTACTGGGGCTTAACCAGCAAGCTGCTCAGTCATGTTAGGACTGAGGCAGCTGCGTGCATGCCTAGTGGCAGAAATTTAGGCCCTAAGGGGACTTTACTAGTGGAAAGTGAGGCACCTACAGGCTTAGGGGGGAGCCCAGCAGGTGTTTTGAAAATCTGAATTTTGGATATAGGTGCCTAGATGCAATTTGCCCAGATAAGAAGAGCTATGGTAAAAAAACAGCAAAGTGGAATAAGACAAAATTTCCCAGAAGCACATATGGTAGACTAGGTGACCTTTCCTAAACATTTTTATAGCCTTATATTGCTACAAGTTGACTTTGTAAATTTAGCCGGATGGAGGGACAATTAACTTTCTGAACTTCACCCTCATGAACAAATTATGAGCTTTATTAAACTATGTATGATACGTAGATCTTTTGCTTTCTACTCCAGTTCTGGAACTTCCCTCTAGAATGATCTTTTAATTTACATCAAGCCATAAGGCTAACTTCTCACTTCAGCGTATAAATCTTACTTCACCATATAAATTGAATTCTAACCTCTTAACCCAGAGCCATGTGGTCTTAAAACTATGACAACTTAGATTTTAATTGAAAGCAACTATACTAAGATGCTGACTTCTTTTCTGGGATCCGACTGGGAAAAGTTTTGAGGCATGCTGTCAAATACAAATGCTGTCAGTTTAAAAAAAAATAATCAGTGTAACAGATTCCATTGGTTTACATATAGAAATCTCATGACAAATCTAGCAGCTGAAGGAAACCTAGCATTGTTTTTGATATTTGCAGGGGAGGAGAGGCTGGAAACTTTCAAGAAAGTAGAATATTGACTATTAAAAACGGGAGACAGGTAATGCAATGGGTCAGTGCACTAATTGTTCAACTGGAGATTTATGGCCTGCCTCTGCTCTCACACTGGTGTAAGTCCAGGTGTAACTCAATTGAAGCCAATCCAGTTACACATATGTAAAGATGATGAGATGAGTATCGGGTCCCCAGAATCAAAACCTGACATTGGATGCAATCACATACTTAACAGAGGTGGCAGAGTGGATGCCAAAGCAATGCAGTCTCTGTGCTCAGGACTACAGCTATCTCAGTGCAGGATGGCTCAGAGTGTGCAGGAAGAGTAGTGTTGGGGAGACATGCTGGAGGTTGTTCATACTCCTTATCAGAGCTAGCTGCTAGAGATCATTCCCTCTTGGAGCCGAGGTGCACCAAACGGCATAGGAGCCAGCCCTTACTTGTGTACTACGTAGAGATCCAGTAAATAGAGAATTTATTGTGTGTCCATGAGATGTACTTATTCTGTCTGGCAGACCCACTAAAATGTAAGGTTTCTCAGACACTGTCAATAAGAAGTTCAGATATGTGAAATACAGAGTAATTTGAATTAGATGGGCTAAGTTTCTAAAGTTCAGGAGTGTTTGGATCCAGGAATCTGGTCCATCAGACCTGTGCTTAGGGGAGTTTTGCATCTGTTAGATTTTTGGTGCTGTCTGAAAAACAGATTTTCTATTTGAAAGCAACTTGTGATGTACTAATTCAATTAGGCTGCATCCAACTAGAAACAAAGGTGACTGTGTTCAGCTCTGAACTTCTGCCCCAAAACTGCTGCACAATATTCCATTGGAGCAAATACCAGCACCAGGAGTGAGGTTCATAAAACATTTGTCTCTGCTACCCAGGTGGTTCCTGCTAGCTTCTGGAGCAAGTGCCGGAGGTGATCTTTTTCTTTAAGCATTGTAGATGGGACCAGTACATTAGATTGCGGTCCAGTTTGACTCCTAAATAAGTGACAGCCGGATGGAAAAGGAGCAGACAATCCTCAACACAGACTATAAGGGACTGATTGGCTTGTCGATTGTTCAGATGGAAGATTGTGGCCACTGTCTTAGACTCACCTAATGTAGGTCTCCACTGATGAAGGTAAATAGCCAGAGCATTCATGTCCTGGCTGAGTGACCCTTCGATATCATGTAGATCATTTCCCACATCAGTGAGACAGATGTCATCCACATATACATACTTATCAGCCTTGGTTGTTGGTCAGTCATAAGTGTATATGTTGAAAAGGAGAGGAGCTCGAATGAATCCTTGTGGGAGTCTATTACAGGGACGCCTAAGCTGGCTAGCTTTGTCTCCAGCTTGAAAGATGAACCTCCAATTTGTTATCATTTCCATGATAAGCTGCACCATGGCTAACGGGAAATAGCCTGCAACAACTTGGCAGTCAGTCCCCATTGACACACATGCCAGCTGACAGATCCACCAGAACGGCGCCAACTTCCTTGCATTCTTGAAGGCATCTTTGATAGGTGTTAGGCGAATTACTTGATTTTGCTATCTGTACCATTAGTGCCTTAGCCACACATTAACATTTAATTTGTGTGCATGTGTTGGCTTATAAAGATCCCTCAAAACTTCGATGAGATGTAATTTTACCATTAAAACTGTATGGAGAGCAATGCCGGATGAAAACAACCTGCTGTACACAAGGCTGACAATGGTCCTAATAGGCATAAATAAGCATTGCACACTTTTTATAAGAAGATCTGCCTACTCCAGAAGAAAAACCTACACCTGCTGACTTGCGACGACTGACTTCGTGACATCCTTTTTCAGCAGCTGTTCATACATTCATGTCCAGTGCTGCCGGCCTAGTGCCAATTTCAGATGAACAGTGGCATATCCGGGTCAACAGCTACATCCTCACAGTGTGGCAGCAGCTCTGGACAAGACATGCTGATGAATTTCAGAAGCTCTAACTTACATCCACCTGTTTGCAACCTTGGACACAGAGCCTGGACTAGAGCGTCACAGAGTGGTCACCACAATGCAGAATTTTGGCTTATCTTCAGAGTTCGACTACAGGGCAGCAATACAGGTGGTCAAACGTGGTGGAGAGAGTGCACAATTAGAAGACTGGAGGGTGGACTGCAACACCTGGTTACCCTCGATGCAGCAGTTAGATGGTTGAACAGCACGTATCAACCACAAGTTGCATACAAAAGAAGATTAACAACTGAATTAACAGTTCGGAGGTTGATTCTGATATTAAAATAACTGGTAGACAGTTCCTGGTGATGCATAATTTCATTCCTAACCCATCTTTACCCAAAAATCTCATTTTCAGTATAAATTGCATGGTAATATTAAAGCATGGTGCATATCTACAGGGGGTTGCTGTACAAACATAGATAAAAAGAATTAAACAAAGATTTCCCAACAAAGAAAAATAAAAGGGGGGGTTTTAAATGCATAAATTCAATTCTACATGCCAGCTGTCTCCTGACACTGTGATGGCGATGACGCCAGGGCACACCATACCTTTTGCACTGATACTGCGAAGATCTGTGATTTTCATTAAGATCTTTGGAAACATGTGAGGCTTGTTGGGTCGTCTCTTTCTGATATAAATTTTCAGTGCTTCCAGCAATGGCTCCTGTAGCTTATCCACTTTTGCTGGTTCTTCAAGGTCCTGGCGGTCTGGAGAGAATAAAAATTCTGCCATTGGTATAAATCTAACATTGTTCACAACCTTCAAATAACAAGAGGTTCCTCCATGATCTTGACAAACTCTGTAGATCTCCCTATTTTTAGTTCATTCCTCTTTCACGCTCACCCTTCTGTGTCTCTTCTTTCAGTCATCATCCTTCTGCCTGAAGAGAACAAGCTGCGAGTCTCCTCATATCTTACCCATGCTGTTTCTCAGTTATTTGGAGGGATTACAATATGAGCACCGCAAAACCCTTACTATCCTGCTTCCTGTCTCTCCCTCCACAGGGGATGAGCATGCTGCTAAATGTAACATTTCAAAATTAATTTTGTATGTGTTTATTTTTACAATGAGACTTAATGTGACTCAACTAAGTTAAAAGGCCACATTTGGTTATTTGATCACGAGATCCAAGAGCAAGTCAATTACCTTTGCATATCAGCAGATGGCAGCACTAGTCTGAACTACAACAAATGTCACTCCAAATTTGTTAGTCTCTAAGGTGCCACAAGTACTCCTCCTTCTTTTTGCTGGTACTTACTAACATGGCTACCACTCTGAAACCTGAATCCAAATATTAAAGATTCTGATTTGCCACTCACACTAATGATGTCTCACATTAAGAAAACCAGTTATTCTGATGGGTAATGCTTAGAAAAATATTTAAATAAAAGTTAAGCTCAAGTTGTATTAAAGATACACGACTAGTTTAACAATCACACTTCGTCTCAAAAATTTTTGCTAGCTATTGCTGTGGGTAGCACCTAAGAGTATTATAGCTGAAAGACATTAGAGAAAAAAACTGCTATGTGCATTTTACAGCACTTAAGTGTATACTTTGAATTTAACTCAGTTTCTCCTGCTTGTGTCAGAGTTTTGCACAGTAAAAGGTGAAAGAAAAGCATTATTTAAAAAGAGTAGTAAAATTTGGCAGAGAGACTCAGGTGCAGCTGAAACTACTTTTTGAAATTGACTAGATTTTAACTTGAGAGTGTCTGTTTACATATGTCATAGTCAAAACCAAGAAATCAAGTCAGCACCACTAGTGTACTTGTTTGTGTAAAATGTTCATAATTACAATTTTGTAAAGGAGGATTGAGCCCAGGATCTCTCTGTCTATATGTGTGTGTGCATATGTGTATATACACACGTGTATGTGTACACATATTTACAGACAGCAGTTGGATAAAAAAATTAATTATCCCTCTTGTACAAAAGAAATGGTTAGCTTATTTTGTGTGCACATAATACCATACATAGTTTACAATAAAAAAAAACACAATGGGATAAATCCTGCAGACCTCTCTCAGGCAAAACTCCCAGTGATCTAGCTGACTGATTTCAAAGGCAATTTTACTTGTATAAGGACTACAAAGTTTGGCCAAGTGAAAAGCCCTGAATGTAAATTGCATATAGAAATTAATATATTACATAGATATATAAAATAAATATATATTATATTTATCTAAATATCTATTTACATATATAATTATTATATATATTAGCAATGTAAATTATTAAGAAAGGAAAGATCCTAATGGATTTGGTTTTAAAGTATCCAAGTTCACGCTGTACAATACCTCCACAAATTAAGCAGATGGCACTAAGTAGGCCTGTTTCTGTGTCATCCATTTCCAAAGGCAGGAGTTGGTTGGCAAATGTGAACACAAGGTCAGTTAGCGGACCAAATCCAGCATTGTGCATCTGAGTTCGGTTTAGGGTAAGGCCATCTGAAAATGTCATAGTGTCTTGCTCTGGTGTGTATCTTGTGCAAATTCTAAGGATCTGTGGGAGGAGGGAAAAAGAATGACATCTTTTGTGACATAGCAAACTCATGAGGCCACAGTACACATACCCGAAAACATTTATTACATAAAGTTAAGATTTGTGCTATTATTGCCAAAATTCATTATTACAAAGTGCATGGAGACAAAATGAAAATGCCCAGTTTTCACTCTGCTAAATGTTTAAAAAGTTGGCAATTTTCTGGCAAACTTCTCCCATGAATTCCCATTTAGCCAAAATGATCACAAGTCTTCTGTTCCCAAGGTTTGTGTAAGTCATGCACATTATCCTGATAGATACACAATAAACCTTTAGTACCCACTATCAGCCTAAATGTACAGTGCTGTTTCCTTGTAACTCTGGCTCCTAACATATAGTCCTTGGTCCTATCAGTAACAGCACACCAGCTTTGTGTTTGGGCTTATACACATTTTAATGATTCTTTTGGATCTGTTCTATATAACTGCTCCAATTCCAAGTAAAGTCTCAAAAATTTTATGAATAAGGAGACAAAAACTTTTCTGAGCCTGTCCCCTCTGTGTGTGCACCAAAGAAGTAACAGAACTGAGTGGAACTGCAGGGACCAGAGGGAGACTTGATAGCGAACGGGACTGTGCTACCATCTGTACACAATCAGCTCTGTAGGAGTCAGCAGATCTAGTAGGAAGAGGGCCTAACTGGGAGTGGTAGGACACGTAAAGAAGCAAAGGCAAATTCACAGTTGTGATTTTTCAAATGAACAGATCATCACAGAACAATACACTTTCAATTAGTACCCAATACATTCTGAAGTGTTCTTCCACTCTCACGCCGGTCCCTACCGCCTCTCCTAGATTGCTGCACTTCCTGGGAGATGGTTAGGGCTGGTAGCTAGTAAGTGAGCAGGCAGCACAGAGCGGATAGTTCTGTGGAAGCATAAAAGCATTTTTCACCTATAACAAATACTGCATTTCACTACTGTTTCCTGACAGCATGCAGCTGGCTGTGAGGCTCACATTTGAGAAAATCTGTTTTGGGCAGTCACTTCAGTGAAAAATCATATGCCGATACAGTGACTGTATTTTGATTACTTGCCCCATCAATAATGTGATTTTCATCTTTTGTTCATCTAAATATCTCTGTTCCCATAAAGCTTTGCTACAGACGCAAATGTTGAGCTTGCTCGTGCCTCCATTTCAAGTCAGTGGGATTTTTGCCTCTGACTTTAATGGGGGAAAGATTTGAGCCTATTGCTATTTCATTTTTCTCTTGGTGTGTAAGGAGACAACCCCCCAGAGACTAAAGTAATCTCAGTTTTTCCCCCCTCACATCCCTTGCCCTCAAAGACCTTCTGTCCTGGTGACCCTTCCTGGTTTTGAAGGCACACCAGCGCCCACTCCCTCGAGCTGGTAGAAGGATCTCTAGAGAGCAACACAAAAAGTTCTCCATCCCCCAGTGGCTGAGTTTAACACCTCTGCAAGTGCTCCTTTCCTTTGCCAGCCTGGGAACTCACTTCTGAGCTTGTGACAGACTGTCTGCAGAGCTGGCCCAACTTTTTCTTCTTCTGTTATAATATTTTCGGCATGTTTGAAGTTACAACCTGCTCACTGCCAATCAGAACCCAGACTTCCTCAAGGTTCTGAAGCTCCTTTACTTTGTCCTGTTCAGCAATCAGAACACTGGGAACCCTGTTGGCCTTTTCCTTTTCCTGCCGTTGATAGCATCTTGTATTGTTTTATGAGTTGAGGCAGCATAGATTTCAGTAGGTTTACTCACATGTGTAAGTCATGACTGACCCTCAGCAAAGTAGAACATTCCATTGTAGGATGGGGAAGACTCGACATAGGGGGGAAAATGCACAGATAAAACATTTAGAATGCTCTGCATTCGATTAGTAAGTGCTGCCGGGGTAGCTCTATGGTACCAGAGTGATGCATTCAGTATGTAGGTGCCAGGCATTTCTTAAGAGATGGAAAGAACTCTTATGCTAATCAAGACAAAACCATTATATGTAAAGATTTCCTGGATGGCATGGATTAATTTATACAGTTATTGAGTTAATAAAGAAATGGGTACAAGGATCTAAGTAAAACTGATGCAGCCCATCACATACATTCCGGTTACACATGGTGAAAAACAGGTTATAAAATTTCAGGTTTTACTTTTAAAGAACACACAAAAATATAATTGATTAGCTGGCTCAGCTTACATTCATATTCTTTGCCTTCACAATGCTACTTTATCAGGGCTTGACTGCATCTATTTCCTGTACAGCCAGCTTACTTTGTTTAAGAGACTCAACAAAAAAAGATTTACACAAATACAACCTAGCACAGAGCGAGTTTTAATTATTTCTATAGCTACCGAAGCTCTTACTCAGAAGCCCTCAAATACTTGGCTGCTGACCAATCTGCGGTTGGTTCTTTCATCTTTGCCTGGCAACAATGTTTCAAATGAGTGGGGAGGAGAATCAGAGGGAATGGCATTTAAGAGACCTACAGGGAAGCTTTTCGCTCTCTTTTTAAACCTCCTGTAAAAGCCCTAATATGGTATATCTCTGTATAAGCCGACCCCCACCCCCACCCCATTTTCTGTCTTAGTCCATAGTCTGGGCATACATCAAAGTATTAAGAATTTGGGCTGAGAGGATGTGTGGGTCAGAATTAAATATATTTTTCTTTGAATTAGAATATGCTCTCAAAATTCCTTTTAAATCAATGATCAAAAAAGGCATAAAGGCAAATACGAGTGGTAGCAACATGAACAATTCTGATTAATTCATGGCACTTCTAACACTTTGCTGCCCACAAATTCCCTCCAGGGTAAATGTTCTTGTTTAAGACAGTGTTGGTAGGTCAGATGTTCTGAATCTTTACAGAAGAATGGATACTAGCCCAATGTATATTTCAGGATTATTAGCAGATGTTAACAAACTACACACTTATATTGCCAATAAGTAAAGGTGGGCAAAGCATCTTTTCCACTTTCATTCCCCATGAACTTATAATACACTTCTACCTCAATATAACACTGTCCTTGGGAGCCAAAAAATCTTACCACGTTATATTGAACTTGCTTTGATCCGCCGGAGTGTGCAGCCCCGCCCCCCGGAGCACGGCTTTACCGCGTTATATCTGAATTCATGTTATATCGGGGTAGAGGTGTACCATGTGTTGCACTTTAGGGACCCCACAGTTTCCTGCAGCTTTTTTGTCAATGATTTGTTTTCTTAAATCGTTTTTTAAAAATTTATAATAAAAGAAAAGATAAAATGAACTGCTGAAGGAGCAAGAATTTCTATACACCTTAACCCAATGGACTGTAGAGAAAACAAACACATCTATCGCTTAGCAGAGCATGCTGTTTGTTGTGAAGAGTGTAATTTGCTTTGCTCCTTCTATCATGGAACTCAGAGCTGGAGAAACCCTATCAAAGTTATCTAGTGTACTCCTCTGCTGGTGCTATTTGGGAACACTGAGCTTCCTTCTATAAAACATCTAGGGGTATAACTCCTTCGCTATGAGAACCATAGTGACAACAGTTGTATCCCAATATGACAGTAGCCAATGCCGGTCAGATTTTCAACTTTCTGACCGGCAATTCTCAGATTTCAGTTCTTTTTAATTTGAAGTTGCAAGATAATTTGCAAAGTTAAGCCATAGCCCAAGTGTAGAGCCCTTTATTCTAGTACCATTCACCCCACCACCACCATTCTGCCTCAATAATGCATACGGGTGGGACTCAGAGTGGGGTTGAATGACATGGTGCTAAAAATACTTGAACATTGTCTACATTACAGCTTCCATCATAGGTGCCAGAGAGCTGCACCAGTTGAGCATTATGAATCCAATTTTTGCCAGCATGGCACGGCTATGGAGATGCCTTTGTCAGCGGTGCTGTTGACCATGTGACAGAGAAGGGGCATTAAAACACTGGCACAGCAGAAGCTTGGATGTCTCTCTTCTGCATTGCACCTGAACTTGACTGGAGCAATCAGTTCGCAGATTTCTTTCAAGTGCCTCCTTCCATACCACCTTATGGTTAAACCATGGAACAGGTCAGTTAAAACATTTTGAACTGTGTAGCACTTGTTCCCGTCATGCAGAACAGAAAAACATAATGGCCTTACATAATCATTATTAAGCCCTTTCTTAAGCAGACTCCTTGTCAAGTAAATATCAAGCTAAGATTCATTGAAGAACACACGGGGAATGTCCGTACATTGAATAGAGACAGATACAGTGATATTTTTGTTTTAAACTGAATCACTGTCTAGAAAGATCCACCCCTAACATCTTTAATATTGTTTCGATTCCGTAGTGAAGCCAAGTGTTTTAATTGTCACACTGCAGTTAAATGCCACTTGCAGCCATAAATAAAGTTCTTATGCATGATTAAAGCGTCCTTTGTTTTAAGAAGAACAAATAGCAAAAAAAACATGTTACACAAAAGGAAAAGGAACACATCCAGGAAGCTAAATTTACAAAGCTCTCACTACTGTAAAGCAGTGTCTTTTAAACAGACTTATAAAGGCAGTCTTGACTTTATTTCAAAAATATTTTCACTTTTTTTAACTGGTTTGATAGTTCGACTTCCCAGAAACAGAAGCCACAGCAGGTGCTCTCACTAAAATCCAGCAGTGGCATGTCCACATAATTGTCAGTTTGCACCTATTATTTTGCACACAAAAATGCCGCCTTCGTGTCACTGCATGGGTTTTTACAACACCCAAAATAAGAATGATAATTTTAGGGATTAGAGTTGAGAAATTCTTACTTCTTGTACCAAAGGAATGAAGACAGACTGAACTTTCCTTCTCACCTACAGACAACAATAGACAGAACTATGAAGTGACAGTAATCTCTCCATTATTAAGGCTGTGACCAATTTTTCAACAAACCTTTTCTCTACTGACTTTGCCAATATTAAACCAATTTGTGTGGAATTACTTACGTTTGCTCCCTTGCCACAGGAGAATTTTTCTGTTCATTGATAGACAAACAGAGAAGAAATCCAGATATGGCGACTTGTAAAATAAGAAGCAATCACTTCCGCAAAGTCTTCTGAATTATTTTTATTTTTAGTAGCATTTTAATCTTTACAAGTTTTGGCTTCAGATTTGGCTTAAATTATGACATTCTCAATGAGGACAGATGCCTCTAACTGTTCTCCAGAGGTTGGTATTATTCACTACAATTTTTCTGAGTTGAAAAGAATTCCACAGCCCACACTGGATGGAGTTTATGAAGTTCATAGCCAAACTGGATTTTAAGAGTTCACAGTGGTAGTTAGTTACCATACAAAGCCCACAAGGCCTCTGACAATTTATAAACTCTACAAGAATCCTGGGCATGACTCATGTTAGCAGGGCTGAACTAAGGCAAACTGAGACCCTAGGCAGGTAAAAAAAAATGTGAGTTCCTGACCTCCACAGCTCCATTCCTAATGACACCACCTACATGTGCTGCTTGGGTACGAGTCTGCTCAGGAAAGGAACCACGGCAGCCCCACAGGGGCTGGTGATGAGGCTCCCACAGGGGCCTAACTGCTTGGTTGGTGGCTGTGGTAAGGCAACCTAAAGAGCGGCAGCAGGAGAGGGAGGAAGAAAATCAGAGTCTAGCGGTGGTCCCTTTCTTCCTGGTCCATCCAACATGGAGGCAGCAGTGGCAGCAAGGTGATGGACTAGGAAACCCCTTTTCCCTGGTGTACCCAAAGAATAACAGGAGGTCCCAGCCTGCCTCAAAACAAGAATTAGTGTAGGGTTAGGGAAGAGGAAGCCCCCAGCCCAGAGGAAGAGGATTAGCAACAGCAGGACAGTGCAGATTGTGAGCCCATTGCTTCTAATCTCCTCCTGCCTAGTGACCCAAGCAGAGACGTGGCAGCATCCCCTACTCGCCAGGACAGGGTGGTGGATGAATTTCCATTGTGGAGAGAGGTGGCCCCACATGACAAGACAGTCCAGGCTAATCCTGCACTCCTGAAAGTTCCACAGAACTGAAGGGAATTTTTCCAGGGCCAAGGATCCTTCTGGCCCTGCAGTTAAAAAGCTCTGCAGGCTTCCCAGATCTGGTGTGTTCCAGTATCCATGGCTCTTGAGGCCTGCAGGGTATATATATCCTGTAGAGCCAGAGAGCAGCCGGACAAACACTCCTGCACAGTTCACAAACTCTCTACAAGCAGAGGGGCATATAGACTTTAGTAAATGGCAGAAACTTCAAGGAAACTTCCATATGCCCAGGCAGCCCATCCTTGTCTGTTCAGAGGTGGAGCTGCCTGGGAAGGACTCCTTGGCTCATTACTACTGTGTGTATCCACACACATAATTATTTGCACTTACATGAGAATATAGAGGGCAATACTGTTCTGCTTTCCCATAAAATAAATTTTTCAGAGGCTAGTGACAGGAGAAGTTGAACAACTTCACCTCAGATTGGGGAATCCAATGCCACAAATCAGGCTCTTCCTCCCTCCCTCCCTCCCCTGGGAGGGCACACCACCATTGGTGCAGGAAAAAACACATCATATCCTGCTGAACTGAATGTAGAAGGATGACTGGTGTGTTTAGGGCAGCCTGCTCCAGATAGGGGAGTCAGTCAGTCTAGCTGTACAGAGAGGAGCAAAAAATAGCCCATTCGCCAGGCTGGGAAAACATCATGCAGAAAGTGGTGAGGATATGTTTTTGATATGTTTCATCTGTGGAAGCAGTGGGGAATCCAAGAAGTGATACAGGGAAGACAGAAAGATGTGGCAGGGAGTAAGAGACTGAATGAGACGCACACTGTCCGCACATAAATAATAACAGATTCTACACTCCTTAATAGGGAGGCGAGACTAGAGACCCATGAGAGAGAAAGAGGGAAGTCATCAGGAGCACAAGTGAACAGGGAAAAAAGACATGGGCCCAGGGCAGACAGCAGATGGAACCCCAACTGGGAGAGGGGGATGGAGAAAGAGGAGAATCCATCAAAAGCAACTGGGAAAGAGCACCTGGGAAGGTAAGAGAAGAGCCAGGAAATATACAAATCAGAGAAGCCCCAGGAAGAGACCAAGTGGATGGTCTATATTGTCAAAAGCAGCAGAAAAGTGGAGGAATACAATGATGGAGGAGTGGCTTCTAGACATGGCAAAGAGGAGGAGAGTACATTCACAACACCTGAAATTCTGTTTCTTATCGGATCTGAGTTTGTGTTGAGCACCCTACAAAACCTTTATTGTTTTAGCTGACCAGAGTAGCGCAAATATTTCAAAGCTATATGTCCCCCCATTAGAATGTAGGTATATTCCAGCTGTGAAAACATGCTCTCATCCCATGTCCACATTAGACAAGTAACAATAAACACCGTTTGCTGAGTTCCCAAGGCAGGAACAAAAATGGTGTCATGAGAGGCATTGACACATCAGGCATTCACTCCAGCTGCTTTCAGCATGCACCATTCCCTTAGATCACCACCAAGATTCATTTCCCCCTGTTCACAAAACAAGGAAAGAAATAGTTGTGAATGTGTATGTGGTATGTATGTGTGGGAGCAATACATATGTGGTGCATATTCAGTGTGTGTGCGCATTATGATCTCGGCAATATGCACATATAGGCACTGTGTGGTGTGTACATGTAAGTGCAATGTTCATGTCGTATGTGTGGTATGTGTGAAGCATGCATAGGTATGTGCAGCATTTGTGTATAGCGTGTGCGTTCTGTGTACTAATGTAAAATCAAATAAAGGGTTTGAAATACATCCTTATAATTAGGGGAAATGGATTATTGCAGGGAAAAAACATACATTATTAATACATTGCTAAAATTACTGACATTTAACTTAAATAAAAATATGGCATTGCATTCCTATTCAGGTAGCGCAGGTTTAGTTAATGTGCTGGGCATTTCACAGACAGAAGATGTGCCACATGATTCTGTGGTTGTTATGGTAATTGTCTTTTTCTTCTTTTTAAGCAGCACATAAAATAGTCACATAAAATCTGCATAAATGTCAAAGGAAAAAGTTATGTCTCTCCACTATATAGAAGCCTGAGCTTATTTTTGACAAATTTCAGGGTTTTTTCCCTTTATTGGTAATTTAAGTTTTTTGCTGTAACTCGCGTTGAGTTTTGTCTCTTTCCTTTTTTGAGAGGAGCAGAGGAAAGATGGGCAGATAATGAGGAGGGTCGTGCTTTGATAAACTTTTGAAGTGTGGCTTGAAAGTTGCCATATTTCCTGTGATATGATGCATCACTTTCTCAAGAATCAGTCTTTGCTATGTACTTGCAGAGTTAAACATCAATCATTTTGCTATTACTAAGATAAAGACCACTTATGTTTTTGTAAAATCTACCAAATACATTTTCACTCAGTCTCTTTGACCGTAAGCTAGGGGTATTTGAAAATTTAAGATAAAGCACCAGCTATGAAGTCTACACCTCACATTTTTTAAAATGTTAATAACCTACAGCTAAGGAATATGTGCAACTAGTATAGCCATTAGAGAGGCACACAAAATAGAGATAGAGCATATCCTCGAAGCTAAGCTAGCATTCAGTGCTGAGAGAGAGTTAACATTTGGATCTGAACCAATCAGAATTACAGCTGAGGAGCATTCCTATGGAACGACAGGCCCCAAATAGAAAGGAGGCATCTTAAGAGCTAAGATTCAGGGGTGAAGAATTAAGATACGTATACTCTCCCCATACTGTTCTGGCAGCAATATATTAACCATTTGTCACTTCAACTTCACAATTATAAATCAATTCTCTACCCATAACTCAGGCAGAATACGCTTGAGACATGTCATCCTTTATAAATTACTGTATGCCTTCTGGTGTAAGAAGAACTTAGCTGGGTCTTATCATAACAGTGCTAACAACGACAGGCATGCAATTGGGAATAAATGGTTCTGCCTTGTGGAGAGACCACACACAATAATGATGAGACAGTCCAGTATGAATGAAAGCCTATAAGCAAGGGGCCAATGAGAGGTGAAGCTTGGAAACTGTAGGGAAACCTCAACTTGCTCTTTTTTATAGGCCAGAGAATCTCCTCTCTCTCCGTTTCTCCCATAGATCAATGTCACCTATTAGAGATCCTTCAAAACGGCTTTTGACAAAACAAGAAGAAAAGGTCAGAGCAGTTAATATTCCCCTCAATATGATTTCATTTGAAGTTGTGCATTTCTAGAGATTCCATGATTAATTACTTTAACTGAAAATTTTCTAGGATAAACTCCTGGCTGAGGCCAAACAAAAAACACCTCTACCTCGATAGACCGCTGTCCTCGGGAGCCAAAAAATCTTACCGCACTATAGGTGAAACTGCGCTATATCGAACTTGCTTTGATCCGCTAGAGTGCGCAGCCCCGCCCCCTCCGGAGCACTGCTTTACCGCATTATATCTGAATTTGTGTTATATTGGGTCGCGTTATATCGGGGTAGAGGTATAGACATCCAACAGAAGGCTTTTCAGGCCCACGGAGGCATTGCATACACTTTGGGGTTTACTAAAGACAGGAATAGTTCTGCTCATCAGAAACCCAGATGAGAAGATCATTATTTTTCCCCAAACACATTTTGTTCTTGGCGCAATTTCAGTTTTGTTATAAATTACTATAGTGATTAATAATAGTTCATTTGCATTTCTAGAGCACCTTTCATCTGAGGATCTCTGAGCTCTCTGCAAACAAATAATTCATCCTCACTGCACTCTGTTGAAGAACATTAGGTCAGTGTTGTTATCCCCGTTTGTCAGATGGGGAAACTGAGGTGGGGGAGGTTAAGTGACTTGCCCGAACAGACAAAGTGAATATCGGTTGCAGAATCAGAAGTCAAACCTCAAAGTTCTATTGGTCCAGTTCCCTGCTCTTGAGTATACTCTCTCACATTTGATTTTAAAATTAAACTTGGCATTTTGCTAAAATTTAATGGTGTTAATTTGAAAGTACTTCTCTATAGTGAATTTTAGCACCACCAGAAGTTTTTTGTATGGACATATGGTGCATTTAAGGGTTGGCTCTGCACCTGCCTCCACCTTTAGGTTCAGCAGATTCCATCATTACAACTTGGGAAAATCTTGATCTAAAGATTTATCATCATCATTGTACTCTTTCATCACATCCATGGCATCAGAGGTAAAAGCCATCCCAAGGCTATTATATGGTGAACTGTCTTTCTAGGCATCCTCTATGTAGACCCATAAGTGTAGTGTTCATAATGAAACCTCACTTTCTCATTAACAATGGGGGGGGGGGGGTGCAAATTGTTTTCACCACTATTTAAACACATTCGAGTAGATACATATGGCCAAATTCTGCTCTTCATGTAGCCAGGCTAAAATCAACAGAGCCTGAGGACAGATCCCATGCTTTTAAGGGGTAACCTTTATTTTCCCTTCTCTTCTCTCACATATCCTTTGTCACGTTACTGGTGATATAGGTTTCTAAAAGGGTAAGAATAAAGAACATCCTAAGTAATATATCTGTATGTACGCACTAATCTCTGCTCTCAGTTACACTAACTATCCCATTGATTCATGTACACCAGTAGAACTGGCACAAAACCTGTTTCTATCTCACTGATGATTTCTGCAACACAGTGCAGTATAAAATACATCTGTAATGCAACAATAGATTGTAAGGTACAGATACATACCAAGATGTCCAGGCAGGCTGCTTTAAGCAGGGTGATCTGGTCTGCAATGGTCAAACTTGTAAAGCCAGGCAATCGTTTCGCAAATTCCACTATTTTAATAATGCACTTTGTAGCAAGTTCACTGAATTTGTCCCAAAGCCCAAGGTCCAGTCGAACCCGATGGTCTGCGCTAGAGTTCTGGAAAGAAGAGAAGACATCATAAATCAGCAATCTCCTGTTCAGTGAAGTGACTGATTTGCTAGTAAAATAATAACTCAGTATTTCTACTAGAAGTGCTTTCTATTAGCATTCCAGGCATTTTCTGCAAAGTTTGCTGTTGTGATGCTGCTGTTTTTAAACTTGGATTAGTCTCCTAAAAATTCTTTGAATGTTTCTGTTACTTATGATTACAGAGGCCATCTGTACGCAGAATACAAATGAACTTAAACATTTCCAAATGCCACTATCATCATTCTTCCCTGTCATTATATAATGAGTGCATTGAGACAGACAATTTACATTTGAACCCCTGAAAATAAAATGAACAGTGGATCTTGAATATTGGCTCCTCATCTGGAAAAAGCAGCAAAACATTTTGGAACAGAGTTTCACATACTTAAGGTCTTAGAAAATTGGTTCTACTTAATTTATCTCTCTGTGGCTCTATGAAAGTTTTACAGCTCTCTCAAAATACCGTCCCTCATGAATTGAAGAGTAATTCTTTACATAATGCTACAACTCTCCCTCTGACTATGAAAGCACTATGCACAATTGTTGAAGGTAGTACATTCATTTGAGAGTACAGAGTTCAGTATTTTACAACATATTTGCCTATCAAACTTCGGGTATTATGAAGACATTCTAAAAAAATGTATTCCCTCACTAGTTGTGCCTATATATAAACACACAGATGGACTTTGGATTAAGATGTCTCCTTGCAAGATCCATGTTGAAGTGATGGAGTTTATGTTTTCACAGTTTTAAAAGGAGGCTAATCTCCTCCCACCCCTAAAACTGAGTTGGAGTGGAGAATCAAGTCTGTAACATTTACATGAATCCATACCTCTAACAGTCATCTCTATGTTTAAATGTGCTCTCTTTTCAAAAAGACAGAAACAATACCCCATCGTTTCTATTTAAAATCTATCCTGCAGAGCTATTAAAATCAGCTTGATTTTTTAATGACACAAGAGAAGACAAGAGGAAATGTCTCTATAACTCTAAACATAACCCATTACTTTTGGTCTTCAAAATGGACCAAAAGTAATGGGTTAACAGTCACTGTAATGCCCTTTGAATTATTTCTTGCAGCTACTGAGTATGCATCCTTCAGATTTATTTTATTTCATCCTCAAGGACCTTGGTGAAATACAGTACATCAGGGGAAAAATAAGATCAAGATGTGCAGTCATTCAGGCTGTAATTAAATTTAATAAGCAGTTTATCCAGTTCATAGAAAGATGGCATAGGATAGAGCTACACAAAGCAGAGCCTAAAGCAGGAAATCATTTTACAATAGGGTATCCATCTGGAAAAAAAGACGTTGCATGAAACCAGCAAGTGTGAACAAAATCTTCATCAGTCTCATATAAGGTTATTTTATCATGCTACACTTCTGGCAAAGGGAAGTTTGACGTGTTGTCTATTAAAAGTAATGCATAGCAGTCTTAACAAAATGTAAATCTAACTCCCTATTATGCAAACTGAAGAGAAGAGGTAGTTAATAAAACACAATAATTTGGTGTTTAATTATACTAGTTGCCAGATTCATAGGCATTGGATCTAAAATTGCTAATGCATTATTTTCCAAATGCTGCAAATGGAAACCTTTTAACATTTTATTTGATAATGAATACAGTGATAAGTCTCATTGAAAACAGCTATGTTTTTTGCAGCAGTCCTACATAAAATTGATTCTACATCATCAATGTAGAGGCTGAACAATAAAACATGGGGTTAATAAAATGCCTGTTGGAAACAGAAATCGATTAGCAATGCTTGGAGATCTTCTCTATCCATGCAGTGAAAAAACTTCAAACATGGGGAGTTTTGGAGAAGCATGTTTTTTGGGTGCCTTTTCCAAGAGCAGTCCATGCATAGGTTTAAGGACTGTGCTTCCCGTAATCCCATACTAGTGCACATATGGCGGAACAATACTTAATGCTCACTAGTGACATCTTTATCGGTGGCAAAGTCCAACCATGCTATGAAATCCAATTAAATAGTCATTTTTGCCCCATAAATTGATCCCATTTTTTCAATTACTTTTATTTTCCATTGCAATCCGCTCTATCGCCACATAACAATACAGAACAATATATTCAGGAAAATACGCACCCTGTGCTGGAATCCCTACTGTCTTTAAAAGCCACTTTACAAATGGAACAAGGCTCATAGGTACCACTGTGGTTTAATCAAGGATACTGGCTATCTTTCCTTAGCAAAAGCAGCAATGCTCTAATTCTAATGCAACTGTGGTGATCAAGGAATTCAGCAAATACCTTTGCTGAATGCCAGTGTCATGATATACACCTCTACCCCAATATAACGCAACCCGATATAACACAAATTCGGATATAAAGCGGTAAAGCAGTGCTCCGGGGGGGCAGGGCTGCACACTCCGGCGGATCAAAGCAAGTTCGATATAACACGGTTTCACCTATAACGCGGTAAGATTTCTTGGCTCCTGAGGACAGCGTTATATCGGGGTAGAGGTGTATTAATATATTATCTCTGTAACAGTACAGAACAGTAGTCATGTAACTTTAAAGTAGAACAGCTACAAAGAACAAAATACCTGAAGGATGCCTATTTTTACGCTCTCGGCTAGTAAAGCGTTGTTTGGGACAACCTGAAGCAGGGTCCACAGAGTATTTTCTGTTAAATTTCTCCCTTTATCTTGAGGCTAGCTGTAACACAGCTGTAGACTTACAAATAATATCAGTCTCAAGGGATAAGAAGCATAGTTACACTCAATTATATTATAAAGTATGACATCTCTAGAGAAATTACAGTACTAAGGCACTTTCTCTTAGCTGGATGACAGTAATAAAACAGATCTATTTATGATGGACTTTTGAAATCCATTATCTTTAAACAGCTTGCTGGTTCTCATCATTAAAAGAGCTACACTTGCCCAGCAAATGTACCTGTTAATTCAAATGACCTGGGGAATTTAATATGAAAGAATTATTCTTCAATTATTGTAAGTAGACTCTTTTTTCTTCTCGTTGTAATTGTTAGCAATGGGGACACCTTATAGAAGGGATGGATATAAAATTTTCTAAAACTTATTTTTCACAAAACACAATTTTTAAAAGGGGAAAATATATTTCCTCCAGCACAGAATACCTAGTATAAAAAGTCTTGGGTTCCTAAATAAACTGCTCCTTGCAGAGCTCAAGAATAAATAAGAATATTAGAATCATAGAATATCAGGGTTGGAAGGGACCTCAGGAGGTCATCTAGTCCAACCCCCTGCTCAAGCAGGACCAATCCCCAACTAAATCATCCCAGCCAGGGCTTTGTCAAGTCTGACCTTAAAAACCTCTAAGGAAGGAGATTCCACCACCTCCCTAGGTAACCCATTCCAGTGCTTCACCACCCTCCTAGTGAAAAAGTTTTTCCTAATATCCAACCTAAACTTCCCCCACTGCAACTTGAGACCATTACTCCTTGTTCTGTCATCTGGTACCACTGAGAACAGCCCAGATCCATCCTCTTTGGAACCCCCTTTCAGGTAGTTGAAAGCAGCTATCAAATCTCCCCTCATTCTTCTCTTCTGCAGACTAAACAATCCCAGTTCCCTCAGCCTCTCCTCATAAGTCATGTGCTCCAGTCCCCTAATCATTTTTGTTGCCCTCTGCTGGACTCTTCCCAATTTTTCCACATCCTTCTTGTAGTGTGGGGCCCAAAACTGGACACAGTACTCCAGGTGCGGCCTCACCAATGTCAAATAGAGGGGAATGATCACGTCCCTTGATCTGCTGGTATATATTCTGATATTTGCACTCCAAATGCTTAGATAGATTTCCTAGGGTTGCATCCCTCTGCAGTACTTTTTTGGTCTTAGCCATTTTGCTCTTCTGTCTTCTGCTGTTACAGATTCTAGAGCCTTTTGCTCTTGTTAAAAACAAAAAATACCAAAATCGGTGTCAAACACAGTGCTATTAAAAATGTAAAAGAATCCTACCAATGGAACAGAGTTTCCTCTTTCAAAAGTTCCAGGCCAGTAAGCTCACGAGGTCTGAGCAGTTGTACACTTTATTTCAATATGTTTATTAAACATCTCTAGGGTTGTTGTTGTTTTCTTAAATTGTGAAGCAGTTTACAGAACCAATCCGCACACTGCACGTGGTAGCAAAACGGTCTTTCACAAGATGTCTAGATTCACTGTTCTACTAAATAATAAATAAGGCCCCCAATAAAAGCATGACTAGGTAATCGTCTGTCTGCAATATATTGTTACCAGCAATAAAGTGGAATAAAAAACGTTATGCACTTCTAGCTTTCTTTGGCCTCATAATTTTTTAAATTATGGTTTATTTCTAATTTCTTAGCACTTCTCTGATTTCCATATTTCAATTTCATGTGCCTCATAAAGGACAGCTTATTGTATTACCAAACCCTGCAAATTAATTAATCAACATGGCATGAGCATCTGACAAATTCTAACGAATACACGACTCTTCAATTTCTCCCTTTCATCCCAGTAAGGTAAGAACTTTTTAAAACTTTGGCATTAGAAAAGTACTAAGCTAAAGAAGTGAGATTGCATTTTGTTCGGAACAGTGAGGTTTGTGATCATTCTGATCCCCAAGATCTATAATCAGGGGCAAGCAGCTGTGAAAGCCCAAACCCAGTGCTTGTGGGTCTAACTGTTAAGATATAGGCAGGGGCATGACATAGTAATGATGGGTTCATAAAACAGATTGCCATCTAAAACGCTAAGCTGATAACCAGAGCGTAGTCAGATCAGTGATTTAAACAGTCTACAATTCAGATATAGGGGTGAAGCTGTCTGTGAACCTGAAGACAGTAGTGGTATTAAAGTGGTATTCAATCAGTTTTTATGTATCTATGGCTTAGAGACTGAACTTTTTCTGAAGTTGCAGGGCCATACGATCCTGGTTAAGCCAAAATAGCTCTCTTGAGGTGGCGGGGGGGGGGGGGGAGGGAGGTGAGGAGAGGGGAAAGAGTGTTAATGAACAAGACTCTTATTCAACCCAAGCACCATAAACTAGCAGAGTTGCTAGCCACATTCTCTTCATTCAGCCCAGCATTAGACTTGTTGGGGCCCAGGGCAGAAAGCCGAAGCCCAAGTCCTGTCTCACAGGGCTGAAGCCGGCGCCAGATGGCAGGGCCCGGGTTCGGGCTTGAGCTTTCTGCTCTGGGCCCCAGGGAGTCTAACGCCAGCCCTGCCGAAGCCCGAGCAACTTCGTTTTTTTGCGGACCCCCCTGTGGCATGGGGTGTTCTGTAATTTTTGTTGTCAAAAGGGGTCACAGTGCAATGACGTTTGAGAATCGCTGAGCTAAACAGTCAGTGAATGCCATAAGCATTACAAAACCAGGCAAACAGGGGTTGCTCCTATGCCTCCAGAGTTCTCTGTTCTGACTCCACATCAGCAACCACTTGTCTTAGCCTCCCATGAGGAATGATCAGATCAAGTCTTTAAGTCAAACTAGGTCCAGCTTCACTGGGTTACTCAGCTCAGGAAGGCACTCCCTAGGGTGACCAGGCAGCAAATGTGAAAAATCAGGACAGGGATGGGGGGTAATAGGAACATATATAAGAAAAAGACCCAAAAATTGGGACATCTGGTCACCCTAGCACTCCCAGCTAGGACTCTGAAATCCTTGCTGGCATTCAACCCCGCTGTCTGACTCAGTGGCGCCTCATGCTAGGGGACACCATTGGGGTGGGATGCGGTAGCAGCCGCATTACAGGCAGCACTGAATGAACAATGTTCTCAGATATGGCACCTATATTTATATTGTTCCAAGAACAAAAAAATAATATAATTATACCTTAGCATCCAACTTACAATGCAAAAATATAGCGGCCCCTGTTTATGTTTTGATAACACATTAGCCACACAAAATACCAGTACAATAGAGCTACTGTATGAGCCTAACATAAAGCTAACACAATAACATATTCATATCAGATGGATACAGTTTGTTTGCCACACAGTCTCTGAGCATAAAACTCTGGAATGCATTCCTGTCTGAGGACATGCATTCCAGCTGTGGACATATGATCAGCTCTGACATGGACAAAAAGTGGTTTCCCCCTAAGCCCAGAAATGTTTTCCACACTTATCTTTCAGAAATGGCCTTATTTTTACTGAACTGCGAGTCTATTTATATGCCATTTCGTTTAAGATGAGTTAAGTCTCAACGTTTTTGGGTTTTTTTGGTAGGAACCTAACACAGGAGATTCACTGAAAAGCCTCCCCACAAATCCCACAATCTTGATGCCTGAAGTTAAGAACTTCCAATTATGTCACCAGCTGGCTGTTATCAAGTTTACAGCCCAGCGCAGTGCAAGGGTCCCAGGAGAGTTGAACGTGCTTGGCCACTTCAGTAATTCCTGTTATTTAACGGCATGCCTGCATTGATTGTTTTGACTAAGTCTATCACGAGCAGGAGTAAGGAGATACCGCCAGAGAAGCACGTAGCCGTATAAGCTTTTTCCAGGGCAAACAATTTTATGCTGTTCTCAAAATCAAACGTGTAAAAGGTTTGTGAAAATATTACTTTTTTCTTGTTTTTCAACCCTGTGCATTTAAGGTCACAATGTTTACACTTGCTTTCTTGCAATTTAATTTTGAGATCTGATAAACAGGGATCTAAGAGCTTTAACCTGACTGCCCCCACATCTAGTAAAAAAAAAAAAGTATACTGCACATAGTAAGTCAGTCAACACCAATTTTCCTCGATTAAGGTTTGAATAATTGAAAAATTTCCAGTCAGACAAAGCACTACAGGACAGAGCTTCTCATGCACAGACCCAGGGTCAATCCCTCGATCTTGGCTGCACAGCACTTCAGCACAAGTATCACAACATCTATCCAGCCCCTTTGTCCATTTAAGCTGTCTCTGATCTCATGGTCAAACATGAGAACGCACGCTCAGTCTTACGCAGTGCCTGCTGCAGGGTATTTTTCACCTTCCTTGAACATCTGGTACTTGCCACTGTTAGTGACAAACCACTGGATTAGATAGAGCACAGTTCAGTTCCAGTACAGAAATTCCTATGTTCCTATGACTTTCACGGTGACCTTATGCATATCGAGCATATCTTTAACTACTGCATTTGAGAAGTTTGATATGTGTTTCTTCACTGCCATCTGTATGTGCTGCAGTCTCTTATCCATTTACTAACACACACTACATATAGATGTACACAGGAAAATTCTGAGGGATGAAATCTACCTCTTAATCTTTCTACATAGAATTGCATATGCTGTATAAACTATTTGGGGATGTGGGGGCGGTAGCCTAAATTACAAACGGCATTTTGGAATTTGGTTTATTTATGAATTAAAATGGAGAACATAACATCTGTATTCCTCCTGGTCCCAATAGCTAATCTTCACCAGTTTTGGGATTGGGATTAAGCAAGATTTGTAGCTATAATCCAGTAATGTTTAAGAGCACCTCACCCATGAGGCTCTAGTCTTCTGGAGCTCAAACATGGTTTGTAGCCTTGTGAAGGAATTAACAATTAAGACACTTCTCGCAAAAACATATGCATGTGCTTAACTTTATGAATGCAAGTAGTCCCATGGACTATACATCCATTTATTTGCTAGGTCAATACTTTAATCTTTCCATCTTTTAAATTAAGATTGGATATGTTTTCTAAAAAAAGAGATCCCTTACCTCAGAGGTGGGCAAACTACGGCCCGCGGGCCACATTTGGCCCACAGGACCTCCTCCCCGGCCCCTGAGCTCCTGGCCCGGGAGGGTAGCCCCCAGCCCCTCCCCCGTTGTTCCCCCGCAGCCTCAGTCCTGGGGGGGCCGTCAGGGGGCGAGAAGCGGGGGGGTCAGATAAGGGGTGGGGCCGGGCCACGCCTGGCTCTTTGGGGAGGTACAGCCTCCCCTAACCGGCCCTCCAGACAATTTTGGAAACCCGACGTGGCCCTCAGGCCAAAAAGTTTGCCTGCTCCTCCCTTACCTTGTACAGTAACTGGAGTTCTTTGAGATGCATATCACACATCAGGATGGGCACTTGCCTGTGCACTCTTGATTGTAGATTTTATTTGCAGTGTCCATGCGCCCTAGATAACCTCGTGCTCTGTTGTGAGGGTATATTATGAGGGGAGACCCACTGGTGCTTCATTTCCTTCTCAACCACGAAAGTCCAAAAAGAAGACTCTGAGGCACAGGGGAAGGAGGGTGGGTAGTAGAGAATCCCTAGGAACACACATCTCAAAGAACTCCAGTTACTGTACAAAGTAAGTAACTTCTCCTTCTTCTTTAAGTAGTGTCCATATGGGTGCTCCATTTTACCCATTCCCAAGCAGTACCTCAACTATGGATTCAGTACAGACCGTAGAACAGCATCACCGAAAGCCATGTCAGCTCTGGAAGCAGGCACGAGATTCAAGAAATTGATCTACTTTAGTATAATTTTTAGAAAATGTCTAACATAACCATTCCCACACTACCGTCACCTGTGTACCTTTCCGAGTGTGTTCTTTACAAAGAGCACTTACCGTAGTGTATTTCCCCAGCTGGCAGAGAGAGGGGAAGGTTTCCTGGTGAGCTTTTCGAATTTTCTCAGTGAGATCATCCAACTCTGCTGTCATTTCATAGTTTTCAGTAAACTCTTGCTTTGAAGGCTCTTTCTTCTTTTTGTTCCTGTCATTTCTGACAGCTAGAGACAAGAAAGGAGGCAGGTCAGGTGTGCTTAATGAGACTACTTCATATTGCTTTCACAGCTCTTCTTCAAAGTATTGCCACAGATTTTTTTTTTTTACTTTAAACATTGAAGTTAATTTGGATGAGAAATGTTACATAAGCGTAGAAGAAAAGTATATTTGTTAAAATGCTATCAAGAAAAAGTACATTAAGATGGGCCAATGCACCAATTTCTTATGTCCGCATACAAAAAGTAAAAGCCAACTTTCCATAGCAAGCTTGAGACCTTCTGGAGGTATGTCATTTATAAATAACGTACTTTAAATTTCTATGGTGTCTACCCCCTGAGGAGCTCCACCACAACTTTACCCACGTTGATGAAATGTCTCACAATAGCTTTGTGAGGCAAGAGTTAATAACCCCGTATTATTATTACAGATTAGGAAATTAATGCACTGAGAGTTGATGTAATTTGCTCAAGGTAACAAAGTCAGTGGCAGAGCTGGAAACAGAACCCACATTTCCTGGTTCCATGTCATGTATTTTAGCCCTAAAACTATCTCTTCCTCATAGGAAACTTTCTCTCAAAATAGTACTATTCAAAAGATATATCTTTTATGAATCCATTGTTTTACAAACAGTATAAACATAACTCCGTAAAAGCATGTAGACAATGGGCAAATTCTGGTATGGCAGGCATTTTGAAATCAGTAGTAAAAATTCCAATTTAAAATAATTCTTATAGATTCCAAGGCCAGAAGGGACCTTTGTGATGATCTAGTCTGACCTCCTACATAATACAGGCCAAAATAATTCCTAGGGCAGATCTTTTAGAAACATCCAATCTTGATTTAAAAATTATCAGTGAGGAAGAATCCATCATGAGTCACGACCCTTGATAAATTGTTCCAATAGTTAATTACTCTCGTTGTTAAAAATTTACACCTTATTACCAGTCTGAATTTGTCTGGCTTCTACTTCCAGCCATTGGATCATATACCTTTCTCTGGTAGACTGACGAGCTCATTATTAAATATTTGTTCTCAATGTAGGTTTTTATAAACTACAATCAAGTCACCCCATAATCTTCTCTTTGTTAAGCTAAATAGATGGAGCTCCTTGAGTCTATCATGATAAGGCATGTTTTCTAAGTCTTTAATCATTCTTGTGGCTCTTCTATGAACCCCCTTCACTTTATCAACGTCCCTCTTGAATTGTGGGCACCAGAACTGGACACAATATTCCAGCAGTGGTCGCACCAGTGCCAAAAGAGAGACAAAATAATCTCTTTACTCTTACTCGAGATTTCCTGTTTATGCATCCCAGAATTTGGCCACAGCAACCCAATGGGAGCTGACATTCAAATAATTATCCACCACAACCCCCAGATCTTTTGCGGAGTCACTACTTCTCAGGATAGAGTCTTCCATCCTGTAAGTATGGCCTACATTCTTTGTTCGTATTATGTATACGTTTACATGTTGCTGTATTAAAATACATATTGTTTGATTGCGCCCAATTTATCAAGCGATACAGATCTTTCTGAATCAGTGACCTGTCCTCTTTATTATTTACCACCCTCAATTTTTTTTGTCATCTGCAAACTTTATCAGTGATGATTTTATGTTTTTTTCAACCAGGTCATTGATTAAAAAGTTAAATAGCATAGGGCCAAGAACCAGTCCCTGCATGACCCCACTGAAAACACACCCACTCAATGACAATTCCACATTTAAAGTTAAATTTTGAGACCTATCAGTTAGCCAGACTTGAACGGTTTCAGTGTCATCGGTACCAAGATACCGAATGAACCGGAGATTGCTTTTGGCTTGGTCGGGGCTCGCTTTGGGGACTCATGGCCCTTTTCTTATAGGCCTTGCATGAGTGGCTCGTGGGTGTACTTTTTGGGCTCACCTCCCTTAGAAGTAGAAGGTTGCGGTGAGGTTTCCCGCTGTGTGGGGTCTTGGCGCAGCTGAGGGTGGTTGAAAGGCTGCCTCCATTTGGAGAAGCTTGAGTCTCAGTTCTCTATTCTTTCTGGATCTGGGCTTCACAGTTGTTGGCACAAACCACACTTTTGTGGTATGTGGTTCTCCCCCAGACAGCAGACGCACTTGCAACTGAGACACTTCTTGAAGCCCCGTTAAATGGACATACCCTGTCCAGAGGGGCCCCAGAAAAAAGAAGTCTAAAATAAAGTTTGGGTTTTGTTTTTGTTTTTTTCTGGTAATAAAAGATAAAGGAGTAAAGAAAAGGGAAGCTCCAAAAAGGTAGCTAAAATTAAAAAAACTGAAGATGTTAATGATCCACTAACAGACAGCTAAAGCTCCATTTCTAGCTGAGGCGGTTGAGCAGGAACTGAGGAGGGTTCAACCACACAGCATTGGTTAGCCTCGTGGCAAAGCATGGGAAGGGGGCAATGCATGCACAGACCGAACAGATACTGCTACCAAAATTCTCCAATTAGCAGTGCAGGGACGCAGACAACCTACAGTGGAGCAAACGTAGGGACACACCTTGAAGAATGCAAAGAAATACTCATTGGAAAACATAATCCCAACTGCACATACAAAATGAAGGGGTCTAAACTGGCTGTTATCACTCAAGAAAGAGATCTTGGAGTCATTGTGGATAGATCTCTGAAAACACCCGCTCAATGTGCAGAGGCAATCCAAAATGCTAACAGAATGTTAGGAACCATTAGGAAAAGGATAGAAAAGACAAAAATATTACATTGTCTCTAAATCCATTATATACCCCCATCTTGAATTCTATGTGCAGTGCTGGTCATCCCGTCTTTAAAAAGATATGTTAGAATTGGGAAAGGTACAGAGAAGGGCAACAAAAATGATTAGGGAATGAAATGGCTTTTCAGATTGGAAAAGAGACGACTAAAGGGGGATATGATAGAGGTCTATAAAATCTTGACTGGTGTAGAGAAAGTAAATAAGGAAGTGTTATTTACTCCTCCTCATAACACAAGAACCAGAGGTGACCCAAGTAAATTAAATTAATAGGCGGCATGTTTAAAACAAACAAAAGGAAGTATTTCTTCACATAATGAACAGTCAATCTTTGGAACTTGTTGCCAGGGGATTTTGTAAAGGCTAAAACTATAACAGGGTTCAAAAAAGAACTAGATAAGTGAATGGAGAATAGGTCCAACAATGGCTTTTAGCCAAGATGGTCGGGGATGCAACCCCATGTTGAGTGTCCCTAGCCTCTGACTGCAAGAAGCCGGGAGTGGATAGAGGATGGATCACTTGATGATTGTTCTGTTCTGTTCATTCCCTCTGAAGCATCTGGCATTGGCCACTGTCGGAAGACAGGATACTGGGATAGATGGACTATTGGTTTAACCCAGTATGGCCATTATTATGTTCATGTACAGTGAAGTATTTGTGAAAGGGAAGCTTTAAGCCTGAAAAGAAAATGCCATTCCCTCTAGCTAATAGCATCAGATTTTAATTTTATGAACAGCTTTGTTTTCAGTGACCAACTAAATTTATAACTAAGCATAGAAGAAATGTAATGGAGAAATTACCTTCAATGCTGTATGTTACATTTCATTGATTTTAAATAATGCAGTAAAGAAAGAAGAATTATATTCTTCCTTCTGAATCACATTGTATGGAGTGGTAGCAAAATCCACATTAATATAAAATCCCCAAACCAAAACCAAAACGAAACCAAACCTCCTATCTTTCTTTCCTTGCTGGTTTAGTACTGAAAATGTGCATCACAGAACATCAATTATGTAACTGGCATCCGATGAAGTGGGCATTCACCCACGAAAGCTTATGCTCCAATACATCTGTTAGTCTTAAAGGTGCCACAGAACTCTCTGTTGCTTTTTCCTATATACTTGTGTCTCATAAGATAAAGTGCTGGATGCCTCATCACCACACAGACATTTGCTCTTCTCAAACAGTGGGTCAGGACCCCAAAGTGGGTCACAACCCCATTTTAATGGGGTTGCCAGGGCTGGCTTAGACTTGCTGGGGCCCAGGGCCAAAGACAAAGCCTGAGCCCACCACCCAAGGCCAAAGCCTGAGGGTTTCAGCAGGGGTCGGCAACGTGTCCGTGGTAAAAATGTTGAGGTCCGTGGTAATTTTTCAATAAACGTTGAATGACTGAATGACATAACCCCCCCCAATGTCTGTCACTAAGTATTGTAATTTTGTCAAGTGTCCGTCGTGCAACATCGTGATGCTGACCCCTGGGTTTCAGCCCTGTGTCTTGGGACTCAGGTTACAGGCCCCCTGCCTGGGGCTGAAGCCCTTGGGCTTCAGCTTTGCCCCCTCTCCTCCCTGGTCAGCGGGCCTCGGGCGGGCTCAGGCTTCAGTGCCCCACGCTGGGGTCCTGTAGTAATTTTTATTATCAGAAGGGGGTCGCGGTGCAGTGAAGTTTGAGAACCCCTGTTGTAGTTTTTGTGGTCACTGGAGAGATGAACCTTTTTGGAAGAATGGATAACATACAGTAGTTTGATTTTCTCCAGGTGTCACTACCATGGCCAAACTAAGGCCAATATAACTTAAGGTGTGGAGAAAAGGAGTAACAAACAAACAATCAGATAAATAAAAATAAATCTGGCTTGTAACAGAAAATGAGTTGCAACCTTAACTGTGGAACAGCTGTCATTCCATAATGACATAACACATTCATTCATAAGGCATTTTTTTTTACTATAACCAACGTAGCAGCAAGATGCACTGAGGTCCACACTAAGAGCTTGACCATGTTCCAGCAAAGCACTTAAGCAGATGCTTAGCTTTAAAGGATCCCATTAACTCCAGCAAAACTGCTTGCATGCTTAAAGTCAAGCACATGCATAAGTGTTTTTGGGATCGGGATCAGAGTGCTCAGTACCTCGCAGAGCTGAGCCATGACTTGGACTGCCACGATGGTCAGATTCTATCTCGATGCCAGTCTAAAAAGCTCATCATGGAGCTGGGAAGATGCGGCAGGGAAGGTAAAGCAGCAGCCCTGCTTGTAAAGGCTGCCCGTTCCCTCACCCTC